TTTTTTACGGGTCGCGGGTTAACCGCGGCCCGTGGGGGTGCAACCCGCGAAGCCCGCGGGTTACACCTCCTTGGCCCGTGAACCGCCCGCACGGGTCACGGGTCGGCCCGCGGTCCCGGTTTTCACGGGCCGGTTTTCACGGGTCATGGCCAGCCCGTCCGTCTTGACACCTCTACAACTCGGACTTCTTGAATTATGAAAAAAATGAAAGTACCATAAAGTGGATTTTAGTGTCTATATATAAAAGGTTTTAGGAATTCTTGCACATGAGTTCATAATTTTTCCAAAATATATATTATGCTGAAAAAACCTTAAAGTTATGTGTACATATACACATACATACAACCTATATTTTTTCTTTTCGAAAGTTTGAGCATGAAAGTTTTGTAATTGGATTTTGCTTGATGGGTTTATCTATAGTTTTAGCTTCAAGAGTCCGTATTCTGATTGGAAATCGAGTTATATTTTTCTCTCGAAAATTTGTAATTTATTTTTATTTTCTTTCAGCATTATTAGCTACTTCGTAATTGGTAAAGAAAATGCTCAAGTATTCTCATAATATTTTTAAAATTTGGATTGAAATCACATGACTTTGCATTGAATCAAATATCAAACGTCAATTTATAATCTTGAATTTTGTTCTCTTCTTAGAGAGTAATGCAATGATCAGCTCCTAAATTACACAGAACATAAGTCAATTATAATGTATTTTAAATTCAAAACCATAATTGTGATCAGGGGAGGAGCCAGCACCCGACAAGTCTCTGCGGCCACCCGTGCTGGATCTAAATTATTTTTTTTCTCTTATATTACGCGGCCACTCAACAGCCTGAAGGCTCTGAACGGTCGCCTATGCTAACTTGGATTACTGGATCCGCCATTATTGCAATTTAATTTATTTATTCTTTTCCCCGAGAAGTGCAAAATAATTTGTTACATTTAAGATTTGTTATTACTCAACCCGTGGAAAGTGAAAGATGCCCTTTATTGTTGGCTTGTTGCAATTTGTGAATAGCAAGGAACACAAATAGACAATGGATAGCAAATATTAACTTTCATGTTAATGTGGGGCTTTGCATTTTGTTCTTATTCATAAACACCAACATGCGCTAAGTTTCTTTCTGAGAATTGAGATTTGAGTTAAAATTAAGTAAACAATTGGAACATATTATCTACCGATAGTTATGGAATACAAATAGATGCTTTTTGAAGTTATCTCGACCAATATAGCCCAATCATTCAAGCTCGCCCAGCAGCTGAGACGGCATCGTGAAGTGCACATCTTGAAACCCGGCAAGAGTCCATGACTCCAGCAGCAATTAGATCCTCCTATCTTCACTTTGGTCATCGAACTTTGTCTACCTCTTCCTCTAAATTAACGAAAATGTTGACCTTGTAGTGGTGACAAGGGCAGTGGAGGTGGGAGAGCACATAACTTGCAGAGGAGCTAAAAACCAGTTATTTACACCAAAACTTGAACCACTCGTTCTATAATTAATTTGTATCTATTTGTTGACTCTCAATTGTATCAGAGGACAGTACTACACGGCACAAGTTCCTTGACTAGAACAGACTATTGAAGGATTATGAAAATATTGTAATTTCAAATTCATGATCTCGCAACATTCTTTAAGAAAAATTATTCTTAATTCAGATAATCATTCCACAAGAATTTAACAAAGAGAAGAAACGTGCTGAAGCAGAAAATATTCCAGGATCAAACAAGGAGAAGAAAAAGGAAAAAACATAATTTTGTAGTGTTCATCATCATCGCCAACTAGAAAATAAATCCTCCCCACAGAAATGTTTCTTCATTGAAACTGTGAGCTGTCTCCCTCAGTGCTTAGCATCTTCTTCTTCACAGAACTTTGAGTACTGGTCAGAGTCCATTAAGGATTTCACTTCTTCAGAATTGCCAATCTCGACCTTTATGATCCATCCATTTTCATATGGGCTAGCGTTAACCTGATGAAGATATTGCTTGCTCAGTAAAGTGTAATTAAGGGAAATAAGAGGATTAGAATCAAAGTAGCAGCATAATTACAGGAAGGTCCGAAGAATTCTTGACAAAGAAATAGAAGTGTAAGGCATCTTGGGTACGACTCTTTGGTATCTTATCTGATTCTAATACTTAGTTCTCTCACTTTCAACAAATCATCGAATTACTTGACCATGAACAATGGAAACATCATTCTTTGGTATCAAAACATGGACAAGTTGGTCTCTACATTTATGTACATTACGGTATGTATCATAGCCAAGTCAAAATTTCAGAGTTACAGTTTCGGAAACGAAATTTAGGTACCATAAACATATGAAAGAAGGGAGAATAACAAGAGTGAACTTGCATGTTAAGAGAACTTTACAATCAGCCCAAGTAGTAATTTCGTGCTATGTTACTGAGATAAATTTGAACAACTATATCATCAGCAAGCAAAACGACAAGATCCGTTCATTGAGCAGTATTATCTTACAAGACATCCAAAAAGGTGTGTTTGTTCTTCTTTTCTTCAAATATTCAAAAGTTAACTAACCAGAATATTCTAAAACAAACGACTTCTAAACTCCCCTGCCCGCTGAAGTTGCAAATTATCAACATTTTAACTTCTCGAGGAATCCCAATTGTTCATAAAGAACACAAAATAAAAAACACAGAATTTCTATGCTTAAATAAGTGCATGTCAGTGATATTTTTGGCTTAGGTTGACACAGAACAAGAATGAAACACATCAACATCTAAATCACAGGACAAAATCCCACTACAAGGCACCATGACATGCCTAAGACACTTGAATAGGTTAGTATCTGCCACGTGACGGCATATCAAGGCAGATAACATAAGCATATTATTGTATGAATGCACGGGCATCATTCATGGAACGACTGGGGCACATGAGAACATGTCTTATGATCTTCTGGCTTGAGGATAATCTAAATTAATGTCACAGAACAATAACACAACAAAGAGATTACCAATAAAGAAGGTACAATCGTATTAAACTTTGCAATTAATGGACAATATATCATGGACTCACCAAACCAGGAGAATTATTAAGCTCTTTATTAACTTCAACCACTTTCCCTGAAATTGGAGAGTTGATGTCACTAGTTGCTTTGACACTTTCGACAGCACCAAAACTTCCACCTTGTGTTACTGCAGTTCCCACTTCAGGCAGTTCAACGTACACAACATCACCCAAGTGATCTTGAGCATGATCGGTTATTCCCACCGTAGCAGAACTACCATCAACTTTTACCCATTCGTGAGTGTCTGCATACTTGAAATCCTTGATAACTGCAATCAGTTCAAGAGAAAATACTTTGGTAAGATTGTATCTCAATGGAGAAGGTCAGAAAATATTGCTTGTTTAGACATTAAAGCTATAACGAAATGTCAACATCATACTTTCCCACTTTTCTTTTAGTGTGAGATCTTTAGGTTCAAGGTCCATGATAGAGAAAATCAGGTTCCTATCAATATCAGCTTTACCGTATGAAAAAATTTTAATTTGTATTTTCATATTTTGAAGTGCTTTATATCACATAAATAAATAAATTAATGTTCCGCATAAGTGAATACTTTAAGATGCAAATCAGGCACTTACAAGCAGCCCAAAAATCTACACACCGAATGAAAAACATAACTAAAAATAATCAAAATATTTGCAACAAGCTAACTTATTTCTCCAATTGAATAGTTGTTGAGTGGCAATTAATGGAAAATTCAACACAAAAAGATATCAAATTCATATGCATTAAACTACTTGGGTTTCAAAAATTACAGCCTTCCGCGTATTTCCAATGCCTTAGGATTCAAAAAAAAAATTCAATACAGTCCACTATGCTTCAGTGCAGCATTTTACTGGGTTTTAGAACCCATCTTATATCAAGCACAGGAAACTGATTTATGATTATTATATAGATGCAAGCAAATTCCCCTAGATGCAACGAATGGAACCAAAATATTGAATGGTAAGTTGACAATATATACCTACAGCATACTCCCCCGGGAGGCCAAGAATATTCTCATATTTCAAAGTATCTAACCAAACACGCTCATATTACACACCTCACCGATATATATACACCATAAGCATAAGAAACTCCAATTACAAAAACATTAACGATCTTTTATTCATTGATCCGGTGAACCCACGTTATACAAATCAGATCTTTATTGAAGAGAACCCCAGATCACGCAGTTTTCATACAGGAAATACATGAACGAGATTCATTAAACCGAAAAGGCAAATCAAGAAAACCATATAACCGCAACAGATAAATAAATGGAAAAACAGAGTGTGCGTACCAGTGGCAAAACCTCTATGAAAAATAGAGATCCTGAAGTATGAAGCAGCCCTTGATGCCCACAATTTTGAGGCCATGTTTTACAGAACGGAACCAAAACCCACCGTTTGCACTCTGATGCAGTGGCGCGCACACAGAAAGCACTATTTTTGCTCTGAAAAAATATTAGGCTTTGTGGTTTTTACTAATCTACATAATGGGCCAAATTTTTATTTTCTTTTTTTGGGAAAGGGGGTTGGTAGGGTAAAAGTAAAATAGAAGCAGACAACTCTACAAAATGAAACTTGTATACCCAAGAATTTCGGAAATATAGTGTAAACCCCATCCGAATATATAATTTGAAACTATTCACTATTTTTAAGTAAGCTCGTTAAAACTTCAAGTCCCATACGAAATGATACATATGACACTATGTTAACATGATTTGAAACTAATAAAAGTTAAAATCATCTGCGGTTGAAAATTACGATCGGTAATAAAATTTTTGCAATATGTAAACATTGTAAAACTAGGTATCACTATACCTTACCTTAAAATTACAGGGTAGGTATGGAAGATCATTAAACTAGAATAAGGTAGATAATTATTCCACCAAACAAATTAAGGAAGGTGGTGGGTTGGTATGTCAACAAACCAATACAATAAAAGTTGGTGAGTGTAAGCAATTTTATATTGGAGTATTTTCCTTTTCTAAAGCGACCATTATACAATTCTAAACGGTCCATCAATTTGTGAATTTGCAAATATATGAATACATATTATAGTTGGATAAATTTCAACTGCGATCATTGAACTTGTTGACACACAAAACAGGCAACCCAAATCAAATGGCCCAAGAGAGGAAATGCTCAAAAAAAGAAGCTCAGATAGAGAGATCAGGGTAAAAGCCCAATCAGAAATATCATTAAATATGATGAAAGCCCAAAAAGATAAAGGTACGACGTCGCCCAATCTGCAGGACGCCTAGATATTGAGCGAATGAAACACCCTATAATCGCCCAGAGCAGAAGATCAATTGTCACCCAAGAATGCTGAGTCGCCCAAAGTCCCAGAATTGACCAAAGTTTGTTGTTATCCAAAATCACGATCTAAGACGGTTTGAGCACATCATAATTACGCCCCACGATTTGAGAAAGTTGATGGCAAGCANAATTACTTCAATTCCCTTGTACTTGTGTGCTTGCGCCCCTTGGAGGCATCTTGTTCGTGTCCAAACTGTAATCTTCATATTCAATAAACACCCCTTTTTGGGACTTTGTTCCAAGAGGTTTGTCCCTTACACAATCGTCCGATCCCCTTTTTAATTGTTAGCGAGCAAAAACGCGCGAAACAGAACTGTCTCAGTCACCGTCACATTCAAATTGGGGCATCAAACTTTAATTAGTTCACTTTTTACCACTTCACCACATAGTCTTTCAAATTGATGAAAATTGCTTAAGTGATAATCGCACAGCAATTCATTATATATGTAACGGTTGCAGACACTTCAATTTACCACTATACCATGTCACGAAATTACGTGAAAGATTATAGTTGTCAATTAAGCAATTTTTGTCGGTTCGAAAAATGATAGGCGAAAGAATGTGACAGAGAGGGTGAAACTTGAAATTGAATTAAAGTTTAGTAACTCGATTGATACAAATTAAAGTTTAGTGACTCCGTTGAGATTTCACTAGAGAGTCAACAAATTTCATTTTCCTTTTACGAGTACAAACCAACAACATGACACCCGCCAACCATTTGCATCATGCTCAATGCACATCACAGAACAAAATGATTCCCACCATCCACCCCACTTGAAAAAAACTATTATGGCTTGTTTACTAACATGGATTAGATAGTATTAAAGATAAAAACAAAGTTATCGTTTTGTTTATTGAACAATTCAATCTCATTAAACGTCGTATCAAACAAAAATATAATGAATTCTTAAGATAACAAACGCAGAAAAAGAATCTCTCGTGGTAATTTACCTTGGAAGCTAATACTTAGCCTTCCCTGATGGAATTGGATGAAGTAACATTCTTAAACCAACAGCATAAACAAATGACCAACTTTTGTAATTAGTAATTATTCTAAGTCATCATTTATGTACATCCAGTTCCCATGGTAAAAGGAGCATTAAGACTAACAAGAAAATTTCTTGTTGAAGGTCTAACATCAACATTATGAATCGAGACATCTTTTGTATGCAGTGATACACAACATAATTTGAATGTCAGAACATAACTTAGAACCAACGCTGAAGTATGATGAAAAGCGAATAGAAAAAATCTAAAGAGAGTCTGAAGCTGCTATATCAATTGACCTGTAGGCTTTGATGAGTGCATTATAGGCATATACATCAGGTTCAAGCCCTTCTTCCTGCAGCTGTTCGAAGAATTCTTCTGCTTTTTCATACAGGCCATCTCTTGCAAATGCATTCACAAGAGCGGTGAAAGTACAAATGTTAAGTTTACATTTTTTATTTCTAATTTCACAGAACGCCACTAAGGTCATTTAGGCTTTACCATCCTGCACATTGAGAGAGACACAGTTCAATGAGACAGTGAACTTCTAAATATTTAAAACCATAAAATTAAGAATAATGATTATGAATATTCTGAATCTTGGGCAGAATATGCATTTTGTCATCACTACGTTAAGGCATCAACATTTAATGGACCCACAGCTTGTAAAAAATATGGGCCGCAAATAAGTTTTTCTGATCGATTTGCTAAATGTAACATAAAAAACAATACTATGAAATATATGAGTTTTCTTGGCATTCACCGTTCTATATATAACTGGATTATGGAACATTATGAAAGCGTACTCAGGGGAAGGCAATCTTTCTACATATCGGCAAAGACAGCTTCAGCCTGCTCCAGCAGCAGGCTTTTAAAAGAAACGCAGGAGTATCTTCTGTAGGGACACATTGAGCTTCAAGGAGTTCAAAATAAATGAATTCTGTTTTCTTGAAAAGTAATTTCTGCCCGTAAGCCTCTATAAGCATATTGTAACAAATCACATCTGGCTTGAAGGAGCTTCTGTGCAATATCCATTCTCACACCTGAAAAGGTGCTTCTAGTGCAATTGACTGTGTAACTCATAGGTATATATTGAATTCTCCCATCCCTGCATTGAGACTCAACTAAAAGCATTATAAGATGTTCTTAGTCATCTTGGATGGATTCTGTGTAATGCAATAATAGAGAAAGGTCACAAGGGTTGGAAGAGTGTCTGGTAAAAGGTTGAGAGGACCTTTGTACAAATTCAGATGGTTTACTTGTGTACAGAGACAAATTCAAGGTAGAATCAAGAATAAAAGCATTTAGGACATCAAATATGAAATTTAATCTACACTTTAAAGAAGTGTTAATGGTTTTATGTCAAAACACAGAATTCAGGGAATCTTTGCTATCCAATTTTGAAAGTATTTTTATTGCCAGCACCAACAAGATCCAACAAATTATTACTTCAAGACCTATTAGAGAAGTTCGTTGTGCAATGTTCATAAGAAATGCTCGAGCAGGTAGAATTGACGCTCAAATACCCATTCATACCAACCAGAATCCTTCTAGGGAAAACAATGAGAAGATAGACGAGGAAAATCTAAATACGTGTGAAGTCTACGCCAGTATGATTGGACTCCATTGTTTATTGAGACGAAGTTGAACGGGTATACTCATTAGGTTTTCCCAAGTGGTATTAGAGAGAGGAAGATTGTCTCAAGAAGACAAAATTCTATTTACACCCACTTCCTTGTGTACAAAGTTTAGAATATGCTGGGCAATGGGGCTCAGCAGGGGAAAATTCAACAAACTCGTATCTGTATTTCCATCCTTGACCTCTCAAAGAACCCACTGTATCAAATTGAAGATTTAGGCATTGGTGTGAGAGAGCATAGAGCGTGCAGAATATTCGCATCGACTAGACATTGTGTTTCCCTTTTTTCTTGAATTTTTTTTGTGATTTAACAGTTCTAAAATTTACGTGCTTGTAATTTCAAATTTACTTTAATTTGTTTTATAAATAGAGAGTCGTCATTAGAATGTTATTATCATCATCAATAAGAGAGGGAGGGGTTAGAGAAAATAGATTGTAGAATCTTCTCATATAAACTTCTTTTAATCATATCGTGCAACTATCGAAGATATAGTCATTATTGAACTCTAACCACGGTGTTTAGGAGATCAAAATTTATGTTGTAGCATGGAAACCTCTATAAAGTTTCTGTGTCTTTTATTTCTTTCTGCAAATTGATTGCTCATTGTAGAATAAAATTCAAATTTCTACTTTTATTCTTTTTAACACGCCACGAATGTTATCTCATTAAAAACCTTATTAAGAAAATTCAATGGAACAAAACCTAGGTCAAAGGAAAAAGAGTATAACGCGTATTTGCTCTCCTCGTGATAATATCACTTGAATTATGCTTCAAACTTATTAAATCCTTTTAGGATAGCCAGGGGCGGACCCAGCACCTAGCCAGCCCCCGCGGCGGCCCGTGCTGGGTCCGCCGGGAGCTTGAAGTCCTACGCCGTCAGCCGGGGAGAAATGAAGAAGGAAGCTGGCGGCGGGTGATTTTTCTTCCTTTCTGATTTTGTTTCATGTTTTGGGCCTTTCTTTAAAACAATAAGCCCAATGAATTTGACCAATTTACAACCCATTAGCCACAAACAAAATCCAATCCAAGATTCCAAATCCTCAATTCCAAAATTTCACCCAAACCTTAGAGGAGGGAGACGACCGGGGCAGCGGTATATTGAAAAATAGCCTTTTCACTTTACCTTCAACTGTTCTTCGCTTGATGCAGTGGTATATTGAAAGATCAGTTGAAATCCATAATTTTCTCCATGGCAAGGCTCGACCGGGTTAAAAACATTACGGGATTGGTGGAGACGTGGAGTCTTATGCTAAAAATCCCAAGCTTAGAGAATTGGCGAACTTGGCTGTGGTGGCAGGTTCCATTGATGTAAAAAAAATCAAATGATAGAGAAGAAATTGCATAAATTGAGCAAATGCATCTTGTGATTAAGCAATACAATCTAGGCGGCCAGATAAGATGGATAGCAGCCCAAACAAATTGAGTGCG